CTCCACTTTTAGTCCTCCTGTTTGAATCCATGAAGACTAAAAGTGACTAAAAGGGATAGGCTAAACTTTAACCTTATGGATCCAAACAGGCTCTGAGCTTCTACACTCTGTTTGCTTGGGCTTGCTTGGCTTATAAACCGTATTTTTTTAGTCCATGAACAGTATTTTTTTTTTCAGACCAAATCATCCGATAGTACTTTCGGTTGACAAACCAAAGCGAACAGCGCGTCGAATCTTTAGAGAATCTCTGAATTATTGCCCTGGCATATTAAATATTTTTCATTGGTGCAGCCAATGTGAAGGCGTGCCCGAGGAGTTACACCATAGTTAACTATGATATCAATGCAGTTGAGTTCCACGCGCCAATATATAATATCATAATTAAGCACTTGTCGTGTCGTTTAACCTTTTGTTTGTGTAAGTTTAAGGCAATACCACTTTATTCAGAAAATTTTCAGAAAAAAAAGAGAGTTGATGCCGGCTGCTGAGAAAAACAAGAATTTACAGTAGTTACCAGGTAGGCAGCCGCTGTCTCTTCGGGTAATTCACCATTTGATCCTCGGTGGGCAATGTTGTAAGGTCTAAACGTCTGTATTGGCTTCTTGTGGTTCACATCCAGCTGGCTGTGGCTGTGTCTGTGGGGAGGTGATGCCAGGTTGGCTTTGGAATTGGATACCCCAATAAGGAGCACAAGGACAATGAGAGAGACGCCGTGCCCTGTCAAAGATGCCAAACGAAAATTCTTACGTTGAAAGTACCGTTGGCTGATTTGTTGTGAGAGGAAAATACTGTTTCATTGCTGAAAAAGTACGGCTTATAAGCCAAACAAGCCCAAACGAATAAGGCGCTAGACATGAATTTTCGTATGTTTCAGTTGAGGAGAGAAAGGAATAGGGAATCCTCCAATCTCAGTCATAGACAAAGTAACTGAAGAACAGTGAAATAATAAAAAGTAAAGAAATTACTCAAAAAAAAAGGTAAAGAAACTTCTTGTAGACACAGTAACTTGCTTTTGCTATTCAAAAGGATAGATAGTATGGAGTAGTCAAACTACGAGCATTAATGGACACCGAGTGTCTGATGAGCATACATACACGAACATTCAGATGAAACTCCATGGAATGAAATTACAGGAGAAAACAAGAGAGAAGTATAAGAAGTGATGTGGCGATTGGTAACCGACCGATGAGCAGCAGAGGAATTAAATGTGGCAACAAGAGAGTGGAACGCGGAGAAATTCGAACTTACAGAAGGAAGCCATGCGCATGCCCCTTGTCCTCCGATCCTGCTCTGCTGGGAGCAGAGTTTGCACACCAGAGCCCTCTGAGAAGGCTGGCTTTGCTTTGTGTCTCCCCCTCCTCTCTTGCCGTCCCTTGGGCAGCTCAGCTCAGCTTCTTTCTTATATGTGCTACAACAAACAGGAGACTAGGAGAGGAGGACTGCCCCTGCCCCTGCCCCTGCCCCTGCCGGCCTCGGAATATTCCCCAGGGACCAGAGATTGACTGACTGACTTGTTTCTAATTCTACGGTAGTGATTTGCGATGCAGTTTCTGATCTGTGGCTCTTTTCTGCACCAGGTGTGACTTGTGAGCTGAGCCAAGGCCCAAGACAACTCTGAAACATGTGTTCGTGTCGTATACTCCTCACTTCACTTGAGTAGCGCATGCAATGCTCGGCAGCCTCTGCACTGCGGACTTGTATTTATTTATTTATTATAAGATACTTACCGTCACTACACACGGCATGGAATCGTGTAGATATGAATTATGCAGGCTGAAACTGATGGAAGATGGTAACCCCAACGGCATGTGCAAGCAAGGGCAAGAGAGAGAGAGAGAGAGAGAGAGAGAGAGAGAGAGAGGCGTTGTTCATCGGTATGTGCATCACAACTCGCAAGCCTGAAATGTGAATACAGACACCAACGCCATGGCGCGTACGCACCGGTGTCGTCGTCGTCCAAAACACTCGGTGTGCCACTCGTCCTCTTGGCGACAGCGCCAACTCTGTCTCTGTGTCAGCGTCACCTCTCTCTGCAAGTCGTGATGCTGCAGCGGTCCAGGCGTCCATCTTTTCAGCGGTCAACCAAAGACACCCATCCCGGTCGTGGCCGTGGCATGCAAGTCCGAGCAGATGGCGGCCCCATCCTAGACCAAATGCTGTCACTCGGAGAAGAGGATCCAGCGCCCCACCCCACCCTGCCGCTGATACAGATTGGAGACTCTGCAATTCAAACATTCTAGCTAAGCTATCTTCCGACAGATAAATTTCATCTCTCTCTCGGCCCCCTCTTAAACGTTTCTACATGAACTGAACGCTGAACGATGTGGCATATTCTAAAAGACGCGGCATATTCCTCGGCCAATGCGTGTATGATGGGCTTATCATGTGTTGACTGCCTGTTTTCTTTGAACACCAAAGTTGACGCGTGACAATAAATGGCAACAGCTCCAATACAATACCCAATTATCAGGACACTGGAACAGCATCCATTTGTTTGTCAGTTTGTCTACAAGTGCACACAAGGCCACGCCACACATACATAATTGGGGAGGATTTAGCTCTCTTCCTTCAATCAGCAAATTATCATCATTCTTCAGCCTTCACCCCTTTGTCCTGAACCAAACACTCTTCTTGATGATGTTACTTTTTTTTTATCATTTGATGATGTTACTATTATGGGAAAATGAGCACTCTTCTTGATGATGTTACTATTATGGGAGAATGAGATTCAAGTGTACTTCCTCCATTGCAAATTATAAGACGTTTTCGCATTTCTTGATACATTGCTTGTTCTACATATCTAAACATAGTGTATATCTAAGTGAATGGCAAAAGCTATGTATCTAATAAAAAAACCAAAACGTCTTTATAATTTAGAATGCAGGAGGGAGTGCATCAGAAACTTGCAACAATTGAAGTGTAGTAATTTGAGCAACAGTATTCCCATCCTGATGCTCCGCTCAATATTACTCTTATGAGAAAAGATGCAGCCCATGAACATAAAATAAACAGAACTCATCTAGTAAAACTAACTGAAACTTATCTAGTAAAAGTAACTGCCCTTAGACACCACTTTTGTGCATCATAAACCCTAGCCTACAGTGCAACATCTTGCTCTTAAATTTTAATTGGTGAAAATTACGGAGGTAGATACCATCATTCCAAAATATTCATGATACAGGGCTATGCAAGATCTAATTTCTATTGCTACATCACGCCTGAGTTTGCAATGGTCTCTATTGACCAGATCTAGTCCTCTTTATGCATAACAGGAATTCTTGGAACATCAAAACAAACTCAGAATCCAAGTAGAGTAACTCAACAGGGCACAAGCCCACGATATTGACTGCCAAACCACTATGCTTCTAAACAACCCCAAGCCTGCTTAAATGGCCATCAGATCACCAAAGTTCCGCATCAGAAAGATGGATCCCGCAAACAGACCAGCAGCCTTCAGCAGCTTCTGCAAATAAGAAACAGCAAAAAAAAAAAAAAGTGTAGTTAGCAACTTAGCATCCAATGCAGCGCTAAAGAAACACCTGGGGATATTAACAAAAAACCCTAAATGGTTTCTTATGTGCTATACTAAGTTCATGACAGGACTTCAAACAGCAGACTCAGGTATGCCTAATTCTGTGCAAATTTCAAGTAACAAAGGCTACTAAAATGAGCAATCAAGTATTCAACTGTCTACGAAGATAACACACAAACCTAAGAAAACATTTCATCAGTAACTAGAGATGCTACCATTTGTGGCACCTAGGTTGCAAACTTCACAATTATCACCCAAGCACTCAGGTTGGTACAACAGTGGCAATCGTCATACTGACATAGGTGAAATCAGATAAACTTGTCAACAAACTGCACTGCTTAGAATTGTGATGCCTGGCCCGCTTAAGCAGCCCTCCATCTATGACTGACTAGTGGATTTCGGCAGAGATTAGGTCCTCGGAGGTCACCATCAGGAAAGCACACCAATAAAATCTAATTAACAACCACATACAATCTGAAATGTAACTTAGATCCAAAATCAAACTACAGAATAACACATGAATTATAATATAATCACCAATTCTATTTCTATCTCAAGGTCAGACCAGGCACCAACCTATTAATAATAAGAATAAGATGACTACATGCTAGTTTGTAGAGCTAATTCTGCTAGCTCATTCAATTCATTTATCTCATAAACCTATTTATGACGATAGAACACAAAATGATCGCAGTAACATATACACATAATGATGTAAGGGCACATCAGGAAGTGGCAGGTATGTGTCTTCTAAAAAATTAACAAGAAGAAGCGAACATTCCCTACTCCTAACAGTCAAACAAATGAGACAACAAGTACACGACTAAATAGAATTCCATAGTAAAAAAAAACTGCTAGCAAAAATTGTCCTGGACCATAAAAATTGTCCTGAACCATAATAATTATGATTCTGATGTCTGAACTTCCTTGATAAAGTGTCCAACATTAAGGCATAACCTTTTCTCATTTTCTGCTAGGTTCCAGGCCTTGCTACCTCTAATCACTAATTTGGATGTTGAATTTAGCAGCCCTATTATTATTTCGGAGTTCGAGTCGCGGTCTCCTCGCATTGCACAGGCAAGGGTAAGACTTGCCACTGACACCCTTCCCCAGACCCCGCACAGAGCGGGAGCTCTCTGCACTGGGTACGCCCTTATTATTATTTCGGAGTTGAAGAACAAGGCAATGAAAATTAGAAAAGGGTAAATAGTAAAGCAAGATGTGTCGCATATCACCTCACAATTTGTTCAAAAACCATTTTACAACCAAAAGTGAGAAGAGACAAAAGCAAGAAAAACAAATAGCAAACAAAGAAGACATTTCAAAGGAGTTTTGTTCAAAAACTAGAATTTACCATTCTGATTCCAGTATTACAAAGTTATGATAGACAAAACGGAAAGCATATGATTGACCAGGTGGATGGCTCGTCTCTTTCCTCTCGACACAACTGACACGGGCGGGGCGGTCCATGGCGATGGGAGTGGCGTGCCATCGAGCGAGGGTACACCATGCGATCGGGGCGGGTCCGAGCGACGGGCGCAGGCTACAGTGACTGGCTCATGAGCGCAGCCGGGAGGTGAGTCGCCTCCGTCTTCCGCGAACTCGGTCCACGACGCGTCTCCTCTGCAGTCGCTGTCCTCTGGGCCATGGCGGCCGGCTGATAGGAGCGTAGACCGTAACCCCGTGGGGGATAAGGCTCCCATTCCTTCGCCATCCTCTCATCTTCACCCTTTCCCCTCCGTCTCCTCTGAAGGCGGAAACCCTAGCGATTCCTCTCGAGTCGCGGCTGCGGGGCGAGTGGAGAGGTGGGATCGGCTTCCGCACGAGGTATGTGATCATCCTGATGCGGATCTTAGCGCACATCTTGTTCACCTGTGGAGTCATAGCGTTGAGGTTGGAGTTTGTGGGGTGATTGCAGTGAGGGGTCCTCCAGTAACAGCTCCCCTTGGTGGTGGTGCTCCGGTGAGATCGTACTGGTCAACTCTTGGTGGTGACACACGATCATTTTCGCAGGTTCTCCAGGCTCCTCAGCAGCCCAGGAGAAGTATGGATCGGCGTCCACAGTTTCCGAATCGGTTCCATTCTGGGTTTGATGGCAATCGGGGAGGCTTCCGGCCTGGTTGGCAGAATCAGGGAGGGGTTGGGTTCCGAGGGGAAGAGATAGAGGTGGAGGTCGTTTTCAAGGAGGAGGTGGTCGTGCTTTTGGTAACAGAGATGCTTGGATCCAACGCCAGAATGAGCGCCAGATCGAGCAGGTACCTCCGGAGGAGCAGAAAGAGGAATCTAATCCTACTCAGAATACTGTGAATGCTGAGGTTGAAACTTCTGTTAACAACTCAGACTCAGATTGTGGTGGGTGGTAGCCAGGCTACTCAAGAGGGTGAAAATGGGATTCAGGCTGCTCCTGCTGAGCAACAGAACAATCCTCCTATCAGTCATAGGTGTGGTAAGGTGGGGCATCCGGCTAATAGTTGCCCTAATCCTGTTGTCTGTCCTAGATGTCACAAGGAGGGCCATGTGGCAAGAGTTTGTTCCACTAAAATGCCATGGGAGTTTGTCTCCCCTTTCTGTGGTTTGTCTGCATATGGACAGGGCTTTCATGTGATTGAAAGTGACACTGCTGATGAGGGGATCAAAGATATGGCAACTACTGCTCTGATTACTGTTACTGCTGGTCAGGCAAATAGTGTGCATGCTGTTGGCTTAGCAGCTGTTTGTTGGGCTATTTGGCGCACTAGAAATTCAGTGTGCTTTGATAACAAAAGAGTTAAATCTCCTACTGAGATTATCTGTATGATATGTTCCTTCCTTACATACTGGGCAGGGCTTCTGAAGGAGGATCTGAAGAATCAGGTGCTCCTAGGAGCGGAGGTGATCAAGACGGCGGCACTTTTCTTCCACAAGCAAGATTTGAAGTCTCAGCCGCACGAGGAGAATCAGTTGGTTCCATTTGCTGCTTAGGGCAGGCTCCAATTGTTGCAGCGTTGTCTTGGGCTAGTGCCCCTGTAATGGGACACTCCTTGTTTTGTTTGTGGGTTTTTAGCTTTGGCGCTGTTGTGCTGTTTTCTGGGAGAGTGCGTTCTTGCATATGTTCCCTGCGCGTTCATATGTTCGAACGGAAAAGTCTGGTTTATGTCAGGCGGTTAGACGGTCACAAACTGAACTCTGTAATTTCGTTGCTGCGGTAATGAAATTCGGTTTACCGGTGTGAATGTGAAAAAAATTAGCAAACAAAGAAAAAGATAAAGAGAGGAAGTAGCCCCCAGTGATTCCACCAAAGTACGATAATCATACATCCGTCACTAGCTGCGAATTGACAAGGATATTACAATGAAAGTATTCAACGAAGGCAGTATATCATACAAAAGTATTGGGATTTCACTCCTGGTCATTTAGCAACCTCACGACTTCTAGCATCTCAAACAACAAATTCCAAACGAAAACTCAAAAAAAGGAAAAGGAATTGCAAGTGAAAACTTAACTTCAGTTAGCAGGCATCACAATCACTACAGAAATACCCATCCTAAGTATCTAGTGCCTGATGAAGGTTCCAAAAATTATCTGATTACATCAATTCAACTATGCTATGGACAATCGATTGAACTTTTAGGAGCAAAAACACACATAGAGAGCTCGCCGCAATAGAGACTGAAATCCTATCCGTGCAAGCAGAATGAACATGAATCACAGTAACTAACATCAAACGTTCCAAACCGTCAAACATCTCCGCACGTATGAATTGGTACGGCAGCAGCCGCGCGTCGAATCAAATCGCCCACCTCAAACCACACGGCAACAAGGTTTATCGCCACTAGCGCCACGGGTTCGAGCTGCAGTATTTGACACGAGCTACCAAGGAGGGGGGAAAAAACAAGGGATTCGAGCACGAACTATCAAGGAGGAAAAAAAAACAAGCTCATGAAGAGGTGGAGAAAGCGGGGTGAGAGGGAAAGGGGGTACGGACATAGTTGAGAGCCCACTGCTCCTCGTCGTTGACCTGCGAGTCCCAGAGGGCCTTGAGCTTCTCGACCGCCGACGACGCCGCCATCTCCGGTCCGGTGAGATCGCCTTCCTCGAGCGTTGGGGTCCGGGGCTTTAGGGTTTCGCTTCCAGTAATCCAGTGTGTTCGCTGTTCTTCTCGGGCATCTTATGTTGATTGGGCCGGGCTATTATTGGGCTGTATGGTCAGATTCCAGTTCGGATACGGGGATATATTATCTTCTTCCAAACTGAGGCTGAATTGAAACCATCATGGACAACTAGACCAAATCTAAACATATGTTGCGACAAAAATCAAGAGAGCACATGGTGGCGGGCAGAAATCAAATTTGAGCATACACCAAACTACAAATAACTAACAGCAACTTCAGCATGAGCCCTCAAATCAAGACCCTTCCTTTTGATTTGAGCGCTCCCTCTTTATTTCAGAGGGCCTGATTTTCTTCTTCTTTTTTTGCTATGTTCCAGCGTGAACCCTTAAATTGTTTTGATTGACACCGACAATCAAGACCCACTTGTCATTCTCAACGCTCTACCAGTTGAGCTATCTCAACATAGAGAGGACTAAGAGGTAATTATAACAGATAATAAGAGCATTGATGACAGGTACTTTCTTTTTTTTTAGGGGATGGGTACTTTTATTAATATAGAGCACAACCCTAAGAAAAAGCGCTAAGCTTCTGCCCCACTCAGGTTAGTCAGACAATGACTCAGAGGCTACATCCATCGAATGCCCTCACTCAGGTTAGTCAGACAGGACTCATGTATTTTGCTGTCCAATTTTCTAAGTCGGCTCATCCAAGATACACTAGGTTCTATTCTTCTAATCTAATAATATAAAAAGCCGCCACTAAGGGCACGCGCAACGGAGGCACACACCCGAGTTACCCTCAGACAAAAGTAAGCTCCACGTCTGCCAAGAAAACAAATCAAGACCACCACCTATCCGTCCCTGCTCTTCTCCTCGTTGCGATCTATCAGGAAAAAAGCACATGCATGCCATAGTGCAGACTACTGTTTTTCAGCTTTTCTTCTCTCTCACATCTCTGAAGCTACTACTTTTCGGTCACAGTGTATTCTTGGATAGTAGTTTCTGCTCTTTGTCAGTTGAGGCTAATAGTTCTTCTACAGGATACCATGGCCATCTGCGAGACCACCAAACAACATGTAGTTGGGGAAGCCCTGAAAAAAAGAAAATTTCATCAAATTCTAAACATATAAGTTGTTTAGCTAAACTTGACTAGCAATTTCTATAAAGATATAATGCTTTGAATGGAGATAATCATGTATTGTAAAATCGTTTTTCATGGTGGATCTATAGTATTAAGTTTATGTTATATAAATTTATTTCAACTTAGGTGAGAGAAAAAAAATTGCATGACTTAGGAGAATTGGGAAGTCTTCGTGGAATAAAAAGAGCTGATTTTGGAAGAATCCGTTAGCAATCAAGCACTGAGTGGATCTGTGGATGAAACGAGGGATGAAATTAGAAATTTATAGACCTGTGGATGAAACGAGGGATGGAATTACAAAATTGCTGGGGATCTGTGGATGAAACAAGGGATGGAATTAAAAAATTTACAGGGAAAAATTCAAAAAGAATAGGTTCCGACTCCGCTGGGGATCGAACCCAGAATCTCTGGTTCCGTAGACCAGCGCCTTATCCATTGGGCCACGGAGTCGGTTGATGTTTGCGGAATGTGGACAGAATTGAACACTGGAAGACACCACAAATTGCCATGGATTACAACCACCGGACACAGGCCATCAGCACTCGGCAACGCGCGCAGATGCATGGGTTTGCCATCACCAAGCGAACCGCAGGTCGCTCTGCGCATGATGATTCGCTCCTTCTTTTTTCATGTGTAGAGGAGTCTGTTCCATGCGACTATGCGAGTCTCCTGCTTGGAGATGGGCCTCCGATCGATAAAAATAAAGATTGAGCAACCGAGATGTGGAAAGAAGCGCAGTTGCAGGGCATACGGTGTGGCAAGTGGAGACCAGTTGGAGCTCCTACACCTACACGTACTGACCTCCTTCGGAGGCATTGCTAGACACAGACACAGTTGCTGCTCTAAAACTAGTTGTAACATAATATAAGGACAGTTCTACAAAGGATAGTTTCCATATAATTAGTTAGAGTGAAGTAGCCAAAATGTTGATGTGTGACATTATTAGAATTGAGGAGAAGAGACAAGGAAATTGTTTCTTATTGAAGGAACTATGCCTATATGGTTACCAAGACATGAAAAGCTATGAGATATGAGATGGTAGATGATTGGATAAAAAATTTAAGTTGAAGAAACCATCTATGAATATAGTTTTCATTTGTACTGTCTTACATTAATTAACAAAGTATGGGAACTACTCCCTCCGCCTTAAAATATAAGGTACCCAAGCGATTTTCAGACAAAATAAAGAGCCTAGTAAAAGACCATCTTGCCCTTAGATAATTGGGATGAAGGGAGTAGTTTAGTTGTTACTTTTCTTAATTACTGGCTGATTGTTTTGAGTGAAACCAAGTTTAAAAGAATCTCAGTATTTCTTGCCATAAAGACAGAGAGAAGCGTACTTGAAGTATTGAGGCATAAAAAAAAGACATAGGAGAGAGAGTGGAGGGTTAAGAACCCAGCATACCTTGTACTTTGGTATAATTTTGAACTCTAGATTATCCCCTGTAGGTCAGAGTTTTTAACAATCACATATCCTAGGTGAGAGCCGAGAACACATTTTCCGTGAGCATCTTATGTTGATTGTGCTAGGCTATTATTGGGTTGTCTAGCCAGAATCCAATTCAGGTCCTTTTCTATCATTTAATTGTGGGCCTAACAAAGTAAGAGCTCCTCTAAGGTCAAGAAATGGATAAATCTTACTTTGATCATGACTCGTGTATTTTCTTGTCCAGTTTGTTAACGCTGTCTCACCCCAAGATATGTCCAGGTTCTATTCTACTTTTGTACTAAGAGCATCTCCAATAGTATCCAATATTTTCTTCCCAAAACATAAAGTTTTATAACTCCTAGAAAGATTTTAGAAGGAATACAGAAGGTAATCTTCAAGAGTTTCTAATAATTCACTCCTAAAATATAGAAGACAATTTTACATTAGGAATCCTATACTATTTCTAAATTATCCAAACCACTTTTATATATTCTTTCTCTCTTGTACATTTGCATCAAGAACCCTTTTTCTACTCTTTATTCTTTACACGCCCTTCCACCTTTAGATTGACCGACAAACCGGGGAGAAAAGATACAGGCGACTCTGTAAGCGTGTAACTTTACGCAGAACAAGGTGACATTCCCCAAGCTCTAAAAGGAGGATGGATTAGAAGTTATTGGAGAGTAGTTTTTTCTCATCTTGCTAAAAACCAAGGATTAGGAAGGGATTTAGGAAACTCTTGGAGATGCTCTAATAAAAAGACACGCTACTCAAAAAGAAGAAAAATAAGGTACTCCATCTAACTCTAAACATCTTTATATAATGGAGATAATTATATATTAGGAAATTGTTTTTCATGATGGATCTATAGCATTACCTTTGTGGCTTTGTGTTATAAATCTATTTTGACTCTTTTAGCTAGAGATGGTCTGAGCTAAAAATCCTATGAACATTTCCAAGAGTCTTTCATTTAGAGAGCCATTTGAATAAAAATAGCTCTTTCCGTCTTCCAATAACTTTTCTATATCTTGTGTGCACTTTAGAGATCGTGCTAACCCCGCTCTTCATTTCTAACTATCGGGAAATCCAGAATGAGTGACAATATTTAGATATCTAATAAAAAAAGCTATTGAATGACATTTTCACAAAAATATATATTCCTATCTAAACAAGGATATAAAGAGACTCTTGAAATTACTTTTAGGATACACTAAAAACAGCGAAAATCGGAGGTAATATACCCAAAGTTTGTTTGATGTTTAAGTAAAACATAATAAAGACACTAAGTCTGTGGTGGAAGG